ATTTTAGATGAGAAATGGACATAAATTGGTTTCAGCTTTTTTTGTTCTAGCCATTTTAGCTTTTCAGGTTATTTTTGAGAAATGATTCTAGAGCAGGGGTTTTCAACCTTTTTTAATAAGTGTACCCCTGGCAGCCCCCATTTTAATAAGAGTACCCCTGGGAGGGTGGCAAGTGGCCAGATGCCAAGCAGGGGGGAACGGTTTGGGGGGCGAGTGGCAGTGGCCATGCTCTCACCCCACCTCTGCTCCTGTAAGGTGGCAGTGCTCTGTCCCACCTGCCCCCGCATACTCCCTGGGACCTTTCAGAGTACCCCCAGGGATACGCATATCCCCTAGTTGACAACCTCTGTTCTAGAGCAAACCTTTGCTTCTGTTCTCCAAAGAGTAACATGACAGAGGATTTTATTTGAATTTTGCTCCCCTCCTTCATGCTTACATATGTTGCTATACCTCACCTTCTTAAAATGTAGATCAAAAGCAAGAGAGCTGAGGTAGAATATAGAAAGAAACTTCTTTTGTCCAAAATTTATGGCCCTTCATCCTGGCAAGAAGACCTGTATTCTGAGATTCTTTTCTGCCCTTCACAGCAGCTTCCTGTTGTGACATGGCATTCTCCTAGCATATCAGCTAGATTGGTTTTTAGCTTTGGTCTTCCTGGTCTACAACTTTCACCCAGAGAAATAAAATTCTAGCTAGAAGAGATTTGAAGGACATTTATTTTCCTCAGATACCTTAGAGATTTTTTCCAAGTAGGCAGTTGTAATGTACCTATTGTTACAGTATCTAGCACATTCTGTTAAATTGACACAGAATAGCTGTGTGGAGTTCTTTCTTTTGCATGAACCAAAGAAGATACAGTGGGTTAGAACAGAGCTGTCCTGTTCATGCTTCAGCACCTTCTGTTTGAATGTCCTTTAATACTGACAAATCCATCCATTCTCTCTCTCTCTCTCTCTCTCTCGCTACCAGTTAAAAAGCATGAAATAGCCTTCTCTGTAGGCTGGATCTTGGGCCCATGGTGCATCTGAATTATGGACCTGGGATTTGGCCACAGCAGCATTAATTGTCATGCCTCCAGAGCTGTGGCAGCTGCCACTTTCCCCACCACCAAATTTCCAGCCCTGTGGGCCAGATGACCTGGCTCCATGGTCCAGATCTGGCCCCTGGGACTCCTTGTGGGTCCAGAAATTTGGCAGCAAGATGCATAGTGGCAGTATAAATTGCCATGGCTCCAGAAGATGTGGCAATTAGTGTTGCCACCACTTGCCATGGCACCAAATTTCCAGACCTGAAGGGAGTCATACAGGCCACATGACCCAGGTCTGCAGGCCAGATCCAGCCCCTGAGCCACATCTTAGTCACCCCTGGATTAAATTAATTACCTTTCACTGTCCCAGCATCAGGTGATATATTAAATCTTGAATACAGTATGTTCTTAGCAGGAGCCTGTCATTTGACATCTTTGTCTAATAGTCTCTTCTGGCCTTATTTTGGATTAATATATTTTATGATAAGTATGTTTCATACAAAGAAGTCTAGTCTACCCTTGGATGCTAGTACATTTTAGCCTGCTTTTAGACACAGTGACTTACAACTTATGCTTTATAGAAATATATTTGGCTAAGACATCTCTTAAAGAATAATGTTCACCCTTGGTCTGAAGACATGCAGAGATGGAATACCATATATTTTTGCATACCACACACCCTGAAATATAATACATACCTTATTTTTGAAAGGTAGAATGAAGGAAAAAGAAACACAGAGTTATGGATGCAGAGAGAGAACCTAATCAGCTGACTCACCATCCAGTTTCTGCCAATCTAAAGTTGAAACTGTAGCTGTTGGTCTCCATGGGTGGATCTATGATTTAAAAAAGAGCTACAGTAGAAGGATTAGGAGCAGACAGCAAAATTTGCCCTAAAAAACGTTGATTAGTGAAACATTAAGATCATTAGGCAGGAGAGATTATCATTAACACCTGTGGAACAAACAGCAATGAGCCACTGAGGGTAGGCACAGGTGTTCTTGGAGGTCAGAGGGAGGTTAGATCACATTAAAAATGACTACCCAATCTAACTTAGTTCACCCATGTGCCTACCTTACATTTAGATCCCTAGTTAAGTCAATCTTGGTGCAAACTGCACAGATGCCCTTTGGGACAGGAAGGTTAGATTGGTCAAAAAATGGCCAACCCAATGTAATTTAATTATATCTTGGAGGTGCTCTAAGATCAGCTACAGCTAAACCAATCTAACTGAACTTGTGTACACATTCCAAGCATGGCCTTGGGGCTAGGAAAGCCTAGCTGCTGGCCTAAGCCCTGAGGCTGCATTTTTATTACTCCCTGCACCCCCAGCACTGGGCTATTTTTAGGCCCCCACCCCCAGATGGTCAGCAGCCCTGTGCCTCCTTCCCCCATGCCCATCAATCCCTCCTGATCCTGTAAGCTGCTCCCAGTGCTGGAAGTCAATGGAAGTAAGTTTGGGTGGGGAGAAGGCTAGGCAGGATCAGGGGGAATTGGTTCACTGTGGGGGGGGTCGTCTGGAGGTGGGGGTATAGGTCTAAAGGCTAAAAATGGCCCCTGGTTCCCCAGGGAGATAGAGCCCTTCAACCTTGCAGAGCTGCGAGCCCTGCCCAATCTCACCAACCCCCCCACCCGACTTACTTGAATCCAGTTCCTGGGACCAGTGAATGCTAGTAAAACCAGCCCTCAGAATGGTTTGCAGTATTCAGGGTGATTTGGCGGTATTGAGGGGAAGGGCATTGCCAAGATTGGAGAGGCTCTGCAGTCCTACTAACTGCCCAGCTTCCCCCCTTCAGACCGTGCTAGCCTCGCCAATCCCACCAAACCCTCCAGATCTCACCAACTCCCCTACAAACACCACTATCCTTGCTAACCCCCGCAGTGGACTCCACTAGCCCCACCTGTTCCTCCCCCTACCTTTATTTACCTTGGATCATAGGCCCCTTTTTACCTGATCAAACTCCCCAAACTGCTAGCTATAATGTCTGTATGAAGCCTAAGTCAAATGACTCCCTCAGCTGACTGAAGAGTAATAGCACAGCTGCTGCACTGTGGAGCAGGAATCAAAGCTGAGTGCTTCTATCCCAGCCAGAGAATCAGCTTCCCTGCTTAATACTTGCAACCTAATTTTGATTTTCTGATGTTGGGGGGAAAAGGTGTAGGTTGTATGCGAGAAAATACAGTATCTATGACTTCTCTTGGTTTGTGTACCAATGGTAATTGACTTTCATTGTTAAAAATGGATGCCTTGTTTCTAAGTTGAAAATGCCTGGCTTCATCTTTCTGCATCTGGTTCTTATTGCACCTTTTTCAGCTAAATGACCACAAAGAAACTTTTAGTTGCTTGTATTTTCTTCTCTTGAAGGTATTATATACTATCTAACTTATGATTGAGCTTCTTAATATTCCCTGTAAGTCATTTTCTTTATTTCTTGAGTTATTTTTGAGCCCTTTGCTGTTCCATCTCCAATTTCTCAACATCCTTTCTAAAATGTGGACAGCAGAATGGTATGTAGTATTTCACTGTTGGTCTCACCAGTGCCCTGTACAAGGATAAAGTCTGATCCTACTCCTCTGCTTGTAAATCCAAGAATCACATTAGCATGTTTAGCTACAGCAGTGCTAAAAATGTTTATCAGTGTCGAGATTTACTAACACCCTCCTTAGCTTCAAATAGACTGGAAAGTATTTCATCATCCTTGTAGGAGTACCTCACCATTCTTCTTTCTGAATACAGAACAGAAATATCTATTGAACATTTATCCTTTTTAGCTTCCCTTCACAATTTTTTTTGCATTGCGTTGCTTTCAGTGTATATCACATGCTTTCATTTATATATCAAATGCTTTTACTTCTGTTGTGTACTCCTTTTTTATTTCTAACTGGTCCTTTAACCACTGAACCAGGGTGAGTTATCAGCATAAACTGTCCCCCTCTCATGGTTTTTTGTCTGTCATAAAGAATCCCCAATTTTCACTTTTTTTCTTAAATGTTTTCTCTGAGTCAGATATGCTCATAATTTTACTTGTGTTTTCAGAAATCAGTTATTTTGAAGCACCAGTATATGTATATGAGTGATTGGGATTGTCTTCTTTTTGTGCATGTTGAATTTACTCCAGTTACGATTGCTAGTTCTAAGCAAATACCAACTTCCAGTCCAGAGATTGATTCAGCTTTATCCATCATAATCAATCAATCATGCCAGATGTTGCTGGCAGCTGTACAGTGAAAATATCTTCTCATAAACTTTCTTACTTTCCAAGAATTAAACAGGATTGTTGTTAAACTTTGGTGAAAGTACTTTTTTGGCAAAAATAAGGCATTTAGGGTTGTGTCATCCTTCTTTTCACAGAACCAGAACATTCCTTTTATATTTTATTTTATCCCTGGAGTATTTAATATCAATTCTAAGTTTGTTAATTTTAGTTTAATTTCTTTTGAAAAAAGAGGATTGAAAACTGATTAGTTGTTTGTAAACCACTGAAATTCTTTTAATGAAAATGTTGTTATAAAATGCAGTTATTATGCAGCTATTATGGTCATAACCATCATTAAGTCTAAGAGAGCAGAGCTATAGAAATTCAAAAAGTTTTGAAACCCAGATACTTTAGGCAAAGTGCAATAAAATGTGTGCGCTTGCATTGCTGCAGAAGCCATGGTTAAAAGGAATGGGAAACAATACTCAACCAGCTAGGGAGTTATTAGGATTTTGCTAATTATGTCTGGATATCTGTTGTTTGTTCAAATCTGATATGTAGCATATGCGTTTTTTAGAAATTGCTTTCCAAAGGGTTACATATTGACCTAATTTGCATGCGGGACTGATAAGCAAAATGTCAGCACAGAATTTTATAGCTGATAAAATGAATTTGCTTAATGTTTAAAAATTAACTAGTCACATTATGTCTCATGACTTGCATAATTGGAAATTGCATTTAATTGCATCTTACCAGATTTTTTTTCTCTTTTATAGCTTTTGCACTTCCAGATCTCACAGAGCAGTTTTCACCCCCTGAAGTGGCTCCATCGTTCCTTATCAAGATAGTGGAGGCTATCGAAAAGAGAGGTAAGAAACATGAATAGTCTACTAATGTTCTGGTTACTTGTATAATATATGTAAGAGTCCCACATCGTGTGGAGTTTGTGAATCCCCGTTCCTAGGGTTTCTTATATATCACATTGATCAGTTGGTATTCAAGTAAATCTAATCTAAGGCTTATTTTATTGGTATTACTCAACAGAGGTTACTCAGGTTATAAAGGTAATGTCATAGGTTGTACCAAGTGACATTTGGCAACCTACTACAGAGTTAGCTATTATCCAAAAATTAGTGAGATTCTGGCAAAACACTAAAATATGTGAATATAAAATGAACTGACTACTAGGACAATAACAGCAACATAGTGTCCCAAGGTAGAGGGAAAATTGCTTGGTATGCTAAGATGTAGAAATTATTTTACTCTTCAAGATCCAGTTTTGTATTGCTACTCTTTGCTCAGTTAGCAAGGATTTTTTTTATGAGCTTTGATTTTTT